TCGCTGCTACAGTGTGTGCCATAAATATTGCTCTATGGTTTTGGTCATGCAACTAATTACATTTGCATTTGCCTGCATCGCCACTAACGGATTCGGTATTACACCAGGACTCAGGCCTCAGGCCTCAGATCAGCTCTGCGAACAAAAAAATATATTATGACAGAAATATTAGAAACTGTGAGCCAGAGGCTGAGGCACAATTTCTAAAAAAATGTTTGAAAATTAAGTACAACCAAAGTGTAAAAGTTAATTCGTTTATATTTTTTTTTTGATATTACAGAATATATTTTTCGGTAGATATTCTGATGGACAAGATTAGAAAGAAGAAATATAAATAATTTGCTAATATAAAAAAATATTATGATCATATTACAATTTTAAAATAAATGTGTCGCGATGGGAATCAAAGCTACGAAATCTACGAAACACAGCCTCGCTTTCTCTGGCAATCATTTTTTCAATTGTGTAAGAATTGTGAAACAGCATACACTTTTAACAAGATTTGATTGCTAATAAGAAATACAATTATAGTTATTTAACTCAATTTTTAGATACACATTTGGTTGTATAATAAGATATATAAAACTAATACAAATCAGTCGAGTCGTTCTCTAATTATTGTTTGTCTAAAGCTCAAATCATTTATATATAGAGATATTTACTTTTACTATTTGCTGCTCTGATAACACCTAGTTTTATTTATTGACTGTAATCAATTTATTTAAACTCACCCCAAAACTGCTGAGTATCTTAAGCCAGAAGCTGCTCTTATCGCAGGTGCAGCTTCATTACAAATTATCCACTCGACTTATCCCCAACGAAATCGATGTGTGCCCCCAGGTAATCAACACCTCGATAGACCCGCAACCAAACCACAAACAGCAAAAATCAATCGTGCTCAATCGCTGTATATATATATATATTTTTTTTTTATTTGTTTTTTAATTTTTACTCTTGACTTGATTTATTTAACTTTAATGAACTGCGAGCAACGGGGAACGAAAGAAGGAGAGCAAGGGCAGCCACAGAAACTGACGGATGACAAACAAGTTAAGGTTAAAGGTGTAAGGAAAAGCGGCCAAAAGCGAGCTTGAACATTTTTGACTCTTGGCTAGCTTTTCGACATGATGATGACCTTTTGGCCAACTGACAAACCCGCAAAGTCAACTGCAGCCAGTGGCCGGTTGCAGGTCGAATTCGAATCCGCCTTCTGCTGGCTGCTAATGGCAATTTCCAACTCTCCGCCAACCGACGACTGCTAGAAACTGCCGCTGAACTTAACCTCAAACCTAATAAATAGCTTAATTAGTCTTTTGTCTGTGTATGGGTGTGTGTGCGCGTGTGTGTATGTGCGTGTGTGTGCCATCACCTTGACAGAGCTGCAGCTGGAAACAAACCCCAGGAGCTGACCCATGGCATCATTACACATTTAAACGGTTCACTTCCGCCTGCAGCAACCGCATCACCCGCACCACCTGCTCTATCCGCACACTCCGCACGGCTCCACCAGCTGCCTGGCTGCCTGCGTTTGTCTGGCATTGGAAAAAATAAATGTATATAAAAAAAAAAATAAAACGTATCCAGTTATTGGCATGAAATGCGCATCTGGTTACGGGAAATGCTTGTAAATGTATTTTAAATTTAATGTCCGTCTACATTGTACTTAACAGGGGAGAAAAGAAGCGACCTTTAACTGAGTATAGAGTAAGTCATTTGCATTGATTTCTTGATTTAACAAGAAAATATGACAAGTTAAGGACTTGGTAATCGCAGCATTGTTAATGCATACTTAGATTCATTTTTTATTTAATACTATTAAATAAGCTATGCTTAACTTTATAAAAAATAATTTTGCATGATAGAATTTAAATTCTGAAAAAATCTCTACGTGATAACAAAAATAGTAATAATAAGCTGAATATTAATTAATTTATTTGGTAATTTTTTTATATTAAGTTGTGTAAGGCAATGTTATATGTAATTTATATCAATATCTGGAGCTGTTAGTTGGGTTATTATACATATACTTTTGAAACGATATACACATAAATAGGCATTAGTTAACTATTTTGTCCAAATTTAAATTGATTAACTATTAACAAATAAGATCGACTAGAACTAACAACAATTTAGGAATTTCTGAGCTATATTTATTGGAGAGAAGCTAAAACTTTAAATATACGCCAAAATAGGGCCACATGAAATAAATACATTTTTAATATATTTGCAAATAGAGTCAGACAGAAAGAGTTATGGATAATTGATGCAGTGATGCAGACAAATGGAAAGAGGTTCATGATATGCAGCTACATAAATATAATGATAGAAATAGGGAAGAAGTTGATAATTATATACACTAATATATAGACGGATGAATTGCAGGACAGTCGGCTAAAATAACAAATTATTATTTAACAAAACGTTTAGACAGTCGCATAAAATAATATTTGAATAAAAGGATAAACAGATGAACAAATGTTTTAGAACATACATGTTAAGCAATGTCTGCATGACGGGCATACAAACGAATAAAGCGATTTATCTATTGGCCCCAGCTTCTCCTTTGTAAGCATTCAAAAGAATTGATAGATAAATTAACGAAGTAGACACATTTGTCGATTATAAGCAGGGAAGCAAACGAGTTGACAGACGGAAGAATAAACGGATAAACAGATGGGTTCATTGCCAGCTGGATAAATGGATAGACAGAAGCTCAATGTGTTGCAAACTTCATTAAACAATTGTAATACCCTCTGTAGGGCTTAAAAGGGAAATAATAAGAAATGCTCTAATACCGTATACCTATGCACATAATCCTGTATTTTAGGGAGTTTGTTTTAAACGCCAGCCATACCAACAGGCTCCCATTAACAACAATAAGCAGCCAAAATAAACAAAATACCAAACAACAAAAACAAGAATTGTAATGAGCAACGCGACGGTCGCATCTCGCGATAATTATGTATGAAGCAATTATTTCGCATGTCCAGCAACGGCATCAACAAAAAGGGAAAGCAACAACAACAAACTCACACACACACACACGCAAACACACAAGCAAACACACACACACAGGCAGACAGAAGGCAATAAGTGTTGTTGGGGTTTCTACGTGCGATCCACACAAATTGAAACGCGACGAGGCTGGCAACAATTTGATGCTGTTGGACGACAACAACAACAAACGAGTTAAATGCCTGACTGACGTCTATAATTATAAAGTGGGCAAAAACAACAAAAGTTCGCGCGAAATTTAAGCACGTGCTGCCATTTTGTGATTATGATCGACTAGGAGATACCTCTTAGGCAACAATACATGCTGAATTTGAAATCTCTGACAACGAAAGGTCAAGACTGATATTTATAAGTTAATGGAATGTGGGAGATGTTAACGACATAATTTGTATCAGCAATTCTTTAACCTTCCTAATATATTAAAATAAAAGAAGAGAACAGAGAAACGATTTATGGGCGTAATAAGAATCGGTATCGAAATGACTTTAAGGAGTTAAACAAATTTCGATTCTTGTCAATTTTTGTCGTTATCTACGGTATTTTTGAACTTAAAAAATAGGACTAAAAAACGACCTTAGAAAACAACACACGCATTTTCAATAATAATTTGGATCTGTGTATATCATGTGTTATCTCAAAAGTTGAGGACAGAATATCGATTCGTATCAATTTTAAAAAAAATTTACGCGTAAGCTAAATTTTATTTTTTTTTTTGATAAATCCATACAGACAGGCAAGGAGAAGGATCGACTCGATATTTACACAATACGCCCTTTCTTAAGCCGCACTTTCAATGCAGGGTATAACAATACAGCCCGAAAAAAATTAAGTGGAAAATGTGTATAATTAAGTCGCCAGCCCAAAAGTAGGCAATACAAAATACCCCAAAAATACCCACAGCTCAACAGAGCGTACGGCGGAGTGGGAAACTGGGAAGGGCAAAGAGGGAGAACACCGTCAGCTGTAATTGCATTTGTATTTGTATTTGTATTCACTTGTATTTTGTATATTTTATTTACAAATCGGATTTTTTTATTGCCCACACTATAACATTTTTATAAATCGAAATATACAATTTTCCCCACAGGATTTACCTACACAAGTGTAAATATTATTCACTTGCATATTTATTCCCCTTTATACAATTTTAAGCATGTGTGAGTGTGTTTTTCTGTAAGTGCATTCTAAGCTGATTTTTATGGCTCTGTCAGTTTGTTTTTACTTTCTATTCAACAGTATTTGCGCAAACGATTTTGTGATGTCTTTTTATTTATTCCATTGTAATGTATTTTTCTGATATATATAAAATACACTTACAGATCACTTTTAAAATTGAAACTGTTTGGAAAGTGTGCTAAGAGTGCAAATATTTAAAAACTTTAAAATTTCAAGTTTTTACCCATTCATTATCGCTTGATATTTATAATAAATAAATATATACAAAATAAACACACACAACTTTCCAAATCACAAGCTGAAATCGATATTTATCGATGTTGAGGTAATAGGAAGAGTTATTAAATTAGGTTAGTATCTGCCCGGCCTGCCACTAATATTTTCTCAGCTGCAATCTACCCATTTCTGTCAACTTTTACAAATAAACGCAGGACTTCAAGGCAAGGAAAATCCGCAATAACAACTTAAGCCTCTTGAATAAATTTATTGAAAGCAGCCTTAGACATTTAATTGATTGTCATTAATTTTTCACCTTTTACACTTTATTGTTATATTTAATCCCTGATTTTGCTTTGTGTACCTCATGCCGTCAGCATTTGCTTATTGTCATTATGAAAGTGGACAACGTGTTCTCACATAGAAGGGAAATACTGCCCTCAATTTTTCATACACACTTCAGATTCACAACACCTGACCTGAATTAAAGGGTTCAAGTCGAATGCCAATCGTTATGCCAGAATTATGTTTTTAAGGAAGACTTGGGACACAAAATTGCGATTGAGATATATAATAATTGGTGTTAGGCTTACCAGTCTTTCTAGGGAACGAAAACGTCGCCAATTCTTGATAAGTCCAGAACATATGTATGATAAGCTTCACTGACAACGTCTTCAAATCCAGAGCTTAGCCCAAATCGGCAACGACGACTCCTGATAACGTGAACCATGAAAAGTTCAATTCGAGGGGGTATTTGCTGCTTTTACAACAGTTCTTGTTCATGTTCGTGCCACGCTCCAACGCCTATCGAAGCGTTCGCCTGTCACGCGTAGATTTCGCATGTAAATCTTGTCGCATTAATTCGCCGGCCTTAACGGCAATTTTTGTTGTTATCGTTGTCGTTGCTTGCAAAAGTGCAACACGCCCACGGACACACACCCGATACATATATATATATATATATGTATATACATCCGGCATATGCTCGAGCGGAGAGTACGAAAATGAAATTTAATTTTAATACACTTAACACATTTTTCACTTAGCTGGAAAATTTATATGAATACTCGTATTCACATTTTCTGCTGGAATATTTTTTTTATATACACACACGCAGTTTTTGCCGCACATAATTACAAATTGATTTTTTTAATGATAATGTAAGGCAGTTGTAGCTGTTTTTTTCTCGTATACCCTGTAATAGAAAAAAGTGTACAGTTAAGTGAGTACGTATATCGAATATGTATTTTTAATTATAAGTTTGTTTCAAATATATATATAGAGTTTGGGTACATTTGAGTATATTTACTGTAAGGAAACATCAGATTTCGAATCATCAACAACACAAAACAGGGTATCTGCTAGGTAGGGCAATGCTTTTTTTTATTTGGTAGGTTCTTGGGCTCATTAAGCACTTTGGGCAACAGTGATTAACACAAGCTGTTGCAGATACCCTCAAGCAGATAGAACAAGAAGGGAAAAAAATTGAGCGCTAAAAAATGTGTAAAATGGGTGAATAACGCGTTTTTAAAGGCAGCAAAAGAATTGAAAAATAAATGAATACCACTTGAAAGAGTTAAATGCCTCCAACATTAAATTATTAAGGTATTTTTATTTGCATAGACTATAAAAAGTATGATTGTAGTAAATATGAAGGGTAAGCGCAGAATAGCTAATTAAATTTAAAGCTTTAAGACTTCACGTATAAAACATCAAATACATTTCTTTAAACTTTTTAATTGACTCCATTTCATTAGGTTATGCATTAGCTGCAATCGTTTAATGCTTCCAATAACAAACATAAAGCACTCTCCCTCTCACACTCTCACTTATGTGGCATTAAAATGTTCAATTAAATACAAACACCCTTACGTTCTTTAATTATTTTTCATTCTATTTATATGCTTTTACTTTCGCACTTTTCCCAGAATTTATGCCATTGTTGGCAGGACTGCAACAACATGCCCAAGTGGCATACAAAGAGAACAGCTTTACCTATTGAACAGAGTAAGATTCCTATAATTCCAGACATATCGAAGTTTTCAATACTCGAAATTGCTCCTATATTTACCTTTCTTTATGGGCTGCTCCCTTATAACAAATAAGATTTCTTTAAAAAATATGTTTCTTATTTACGGGGTATTATAAATTAAGCGTAGGGAATATTGCATCGCATACAAACTATTGAAGCTTGTAAAACACAATGAGCTCTGCCTTGTATTATTTCAAGTTGGTTTTCTTGAAACTAATTACAGCTGTTTATAGTGCAGGCATTACAGCAAAACTACTTAGTAGGAGGTAAGTGTAAAAAGATATTCTCGATTTTTTATAAAAAGGAGAAAAATAAAATTATAGTAATATATAACTATGATGTTAACAAAAGGTTTGCCAAGGTTTCTTCAAACGCCGCAATATTAGATTTGAATTAAGATCAGTTAATTATAAAACTTCTGCTGAGAATATAAATTTAAACATATATTAGGGTATTTAATCTTTAACAGCTCACATTCAGCTTGGTTTCTGTTTGTTTTCTTTGCCGTAATTGTCCAAGTTACGCACATTAATGTCAGGACAACTGGCTCGGCATATAAACAAATATATATATATATATATATATCTATATATTTATATACATATATATATATATATATCTTTAGTATGTATTGTACGCATTGTTGTTGTGTGCGCGAGCGGGTCACAGTCAAGTGGTTGTCTGTCTCCACTCAAGTGTCAGGGTTGTCCTCGTCATGGGGCTGGCAAGCGGCCAAGTGACGTGAAGCTAGTTGAAGGACATTGTGCGTGTGTGTGTGTGGGTGTGGGTGTGGCTGTGTGTGTGCCATTTTCACTTCCACTTGCCCGTTCCGCATTCTGCATTGTTACACACGTACATGAATATACAGAGGCATTCTTACTTGTTGGCTAGCAGTGTGAATCCTGCGTCTAGTCGTAAATTTTCCTGGGACATATTCAGTCTTGAACATCATCCTGCTCTGCTACTGATTAACAATTCTCAACTGCTTGCTCTTCTTCTTGCTACTTGTATATTTACTCAAAGTGCCTAACATGTGTCTTATTTAAATCTCGTAGTAAGCTACAATTATATTAATTTAGTTGGAGCTTGGAAAACAAACCTCTTTTCAATAATATAAAAATAGTTTTAATATTAATTGAGTACTAAATAAAAAATTAAACAAATTAGTAAAAATGCCACATAATATATAAAAAAATTAACATAAATAAAAAAAATGTTTTTATAATAAAAAATAACAAAAGTTATAATTAGATAGCCATACTTCTTATGTATCAATTTTTTTCGTTTTGTAAAATAAATGTTATATAGAGATACTTTAACTATTTTAAAATTCATTGATAATAATAATTGAAAAATATTAATGGAACATTTCCAAACAAATATTGTTCGTAATGCAGACAATAATTATGTCAGATCCAAGCAAATGTTCGGGTAATATTTTATTTGTATTTTTTTCATTATAAAATATGGTTCAGTTTATGGTAACCGAGGACATTTAATTATGATCAATTCCCGAAATAAGTGGCCCCTTTTATCCGGCAAATATATTGATAGATGAGCTCAAGCACTTGGCACTTTTCATTGCCATCTTTCGTGGATATTTGAGCTGGAAACTGGAAATTGAAAGCAGCTCTTTGCCTTTGAGTTAGGTTTAAAATGCCTGCCTCACATTTTCCTCGCACTTCGTCGGAAACTTGCAAGAAATGTTCTCAGGCTCTGGGCTTATGTTACAACTGCTAGTCAAAGTTTGAAGTGCAATGCTAAAGTGTTCACACAGTTGTGTTCAGTATATTTAAATTGTGCTCTTAGTTGACTAAAATAATTTCCCAATAATTGAACCAAAGTAGGCTCCGAAAATTTTGCTTAAACGATTCTGGCCCAGCTACCAGACCCAATAAAAATAATCCTCATTCTGCTTCTAGACTTGTCCAGTAAACGACTATAGATTTTCTGTGTTCTTGTGAGTTTTTCTTCAACAAATTTAACACTAAATATATTCTTTAAAATTTTAAAAATTATATATGTTTAATCTTTTATATAACCACAGGTTTCTTGTAACTGAAAACAGCGACTGCATTGGATTCCGAACTTAATAGTTTTCTGTAAGCCAATCTGCAGTCGTTAATTCCCATCTTAGTACCTATTTCCGTGAAGAAGTTCAACTAAACGTGAGTACTTAAATGTAACTCGCTATTTGGTCTTATCCCTCTTCTGCTAGTTGGTCTAATATTTATATTCTACTCTGCAGTTCCTGTCAAAATGTGCTGCGGACCTTGCTACTCGTGCTGCGGACCCTGCGGAGGTTGCTGCGGACCTTGCGGGCCCTGCGGTGGCTGTTGTGGACCTTGCGGACCTTGTGGACCTTGTGGACCCTGCGGCGGCTGTTGTGGACCTTGCGGAGGATGCTGCGGACCCTGCTGTGGTGGCTGTGGTCCCTGCTGTTAGAAACATCTTCAGAACGAAACCTAGGTACTAACCAGCATTCGGTACAAAAAGCAACAGCAAACCCTTTGTAAATTTATGTAACCATATACAGTAATAGTATATAAATAAAATGGGAACAAATTAAAAATGTATTTATGCATAATTGTTATTGTCTGCTGTTACTTTGACTTTGAAGCATCTCTCTACATTTTGTTAGCACTATAATATGCTCTTGCATATGGTCTCGGCAGTATTACTGTAGCCAGGATCGTATTGTCGGTTCAAAGTAAGCTAAATAATTGGACCGTAAAGATTTAACATATATGAGGATCTTGGAACTAATAAATACCAAGTACGTTCACAATGTTTCCACACATGAACTTAGCATTTGATTGACCGTTCCTATGGCAGCTATATGATAGTTGTCCGATCTGATCGGTTCCGACATATTAACTGCCTGCAACAGAAAGACGGAGGAGGAGCTACTACTTAAAGAATGAGGAAGACGAAGAGACGGACAGAAGAACATGGCTATACTCGACTGTTGATTCTGATCTAGAAAATATATATTTTGACTTGACAAAGTCGTTAGGCGAAGACTAAGTTGGCTCTGAAAACGATTCTGGCCTAGCTAGCAAACCCAATACAAATAAACCTCACTTAGCTTCTAGCACTTGTCCAGTTGACTAGATTTTTGTGTAACTAGATTTTGTGTAAATTTTTTGGGAATGTAAGCTTTAATGTTTTATAAAAAATAAAAATTTATTAAAATCAGTTCATTTTGAGCTAAAAATAAAATAATCCTTATCATCTTATGCAATAGGTTGAAGTTTTTCCTGTAACAGAACACATCGACTGCTTTGGGTTCCAGGAACTTTATATCCAGACTTGTTTTCTGAAAGCCAATCAGCGGTCGATATTTACCATTCTAGTACCTATTTCTGTGAAGAATTTCAAATAAACGTGAGTACTCAAATATTGCCCACTTTTTTTAACTAATATCCATCTTCTCTGCTCTGCAGTCTCTGTCAAAATGTGCTGCGGCCCTTGCTACTCGTGTTGCGGACCCTGCGGGGGTTGCTGTGGACCTTGCGGTGGTTGCTGCGGACCCTGCGGCGGTTGCTACGGAGGGTGCTATGGCTGTTGTGGACCTTGCGGAGGGTGCTGCGGAGGCTGCTACGGTGGCTGTGGTCCCTGCTGTTAGACCCATCTTCAGAACGAAATCTAGGCACTAACTTTTTGTTACAAAAAGTAACGGCAGACCCTATGTACATATTTGTTTCTCAAATCATATAGTAATAGAAATATAGAAATAAAGTGAAGCCTTCTTGAAAAAAATATATATTTTACTCAAATCGTATTAACGACCTACCAAGTGTAGCAGGCTGCTAGCGGCACCTCCTATTGCAGCTCTCATCGATAGTTATTGTACGATAACTAAGAAAAAATATGGTCGTTTCAAAGCATTTATATATGTGCCTGTTAACTTATTTTGTTTACCTCTTGCTCGATTTTGAATTTTATTCAGATATTTGTTTTTTGAAAAATACAGAAACTTTTAAAAATGTCTGAGAATTTTCTCAGAGCGCAGCGGGTTTCGATGTGCTTCGCAACTAACTTCAACGTTCTTATTTTTCCCTAAACAAAGCGACAATAATGCTTCTAGTTACATACTACGTTCAACCACAACACATAATTAATTATATTGTACTAGCGGGTATTGCCCGGCCGTGCTCGTGGAACGTTTTGTGCCACAAATTTTAGATATTACCTTCCCATTAAGTACACGCACTTGGAAAATTGAAATCTACCAGTAACATCTTGATCTTTGCTTCTATTCAAAAATATGTTTAATGTGCATTGAATAGGAAACCAAATGTTGGAATCGGAGGGTTCCGCCCTTGATAGAATTGTGGTAAGAATCTTGAGGTCTAATAAAAAATGAGCGTTTATTATTAAACCTCCATCCAATTAAGGTAAACTTTGCGAAGGACACGCCTTCGGCTCTGATAAAGATCTTTGAAAATGAGTTTGGAGCCGATAGTACACTAAAAAGTTGAGTTAAGTTTTTTCGCCAATTTTCCCCAGTTGCAGATGAAATTTTTAAATCGCTGAAACACGTACTCATTAAGCTGTGAAAATAAGTTTGATGCAAGTCGAACATAAAACAAAATTTCGGACAAGTTTCCATATATAGAAATGTTGCTCCTCGAAACGATTGTGAAGAATCGTATTTACACTGGGAAATGAAATAAGCCAAATTTTTAGTGGATTTATCTTTAAGAGTTGATTCTAGTTTTAGAGCGAAAGAGATTTGAATGGTGGTGGCCACAAAAAGGGGAAAGTTGAAAATTCGCCGAACATATAAAACATAATGTTACAAAATAAATACCACAGTAGGCTCCGACAATTCCATTTGAATGAGTCGGGCCTTGTTAGCAAACCCAATAGAAATAAACCCCATTCAGCTTCCCAGATTTGTCCAGTTAACAGCTCTAGATTTTATTTGTGTCATTTTTTTTTTGTAAATTCTTGGGAATGTAAGTTTTGAGCATCGACGCAATAAAAAAATTTGTGATTTAAAGATTGCATTTACAATTAAACTAATACTTTTCTTATTTGATTACAGGTTGAAGTCTTTCTTGTAGCAAAAATCACCGACTGCATTTGATCTGTTTGACAACCGAACTAAATAGTTTTCTGAAAGCCAATTAGCTGTCGGACTTAACCATCATAGTACCTTTTTCCGTGAAGCAGTTCAACTAACCGTGCGTACTTAAATGTAATTCACTGGTTGGTCTAATATTTATATTCTGCTCTGCAGTTCCTGTCAAAATGTGCTGCGGACCTTGCTACTCGTGCTGCGGACCCTGCGGAGGATGCTGTGGACCTTGCGGGCCCTGCGGTGGCTGTTGTGGACCGTGCGGACCTTGTGGACCTTGTGGACCCTGCGGCGGCTGTTGTGGACCTTGCGGAGGATGCTGCGGACCCTGCTGTGGTGGCTGTGGTCCCTGCTGTTAGAAACGTCTTCAGAACGAAACCTAGGTACTAGCAAATATTCGGTACAAAAAGCTACAGCAGACCCTTTGTATTGTTTATCTTTCATATAGTAAGCATAAATAAATGAAACACTGATTTATAAAAATTGGATATGGTTCGATCTCAATGTGCCGTAGCTTGGCTATTCGCTCGTATCTTTGAAAATAAATGAAATGAAGCCTCTTGGTCTTACGCAAAAAATACGTATTAAATTAAGCTTAAATCGACAACTAATAAATAAATCAGTAGATCCTCGCAGTAAACATCCATATAATGGAAGTTGTATTAGTGCTTCTACTTGAGATATGCTTTAAATATATATATAAATATGAAGTTAGATACCCATAGTTCATCGTCGTTAAATGAGGACACATACTTCTTGCTGCCGTGCTACATTCGCTCAAGAACATTTCCCATTTTCTTGGATTTGAAAGACATGGTTCACAATAAGGCGGTTCTTAGCTTATATAGCAAAATCATTTTTAGGTGTGCTCAATAATATTCAGTGTACTATATCAAAGTTGGCTATAATATTTTAACTTCGTATGCTTTTAGTGTGCTTTTTAGATAACATTCATTTCCCTTTTTAGGCTTGTCCAGTTAGCATCTATATTTTATTGTAATTTTTTTTTTCAAATTACCGGAATGTAAGTATTAGAAGTAGAAAATTGAAGAAAAATAATATATTCTTTTCAAAATACAGGTTGAAACTTTTTCAATAAAAAGAAAACATCGACTGCTTTGGGTTCCAGTAGCTGGAAAACCGAACAAAACAGTTTTCTGAAAGCCAATCAGCGGTCGATATTTACCATCTCAGTACCTATTTCCGTGAAGAAGTTCAATTGAAAGTAGGGGAATTTCACGATCTACTCTACAGTCAGGATGTGCTCTCCGTGCTACTCGTGCAACTATTCCTGCACCACGCCCTGCAATGGTTGCTGCTCTGGATGTTGTGGCTGCAACGGCAATTGCGGGGGCGGAGGCTGCTCCGCCGCCTGCTTCTGCTACCCTAACTGTGGCGGATGTGGACCCTGCTGTTAAGAACCTATTCAGAATAAAATGTTGGTGCTATAAATAATAAAGTTTGCAGTTAGCTGTTGAAAGGATCAAGTTGATTTTATTGATTTATAATTCAGCCCAATAATTGATTCTTGATCAGAAAACCAAGCAGAGTATCTGTCCTTGTGATCGCCCTTAACCGCAGCTAATCTGCAAGAAATATATGAACCACAGTAGAGCGTACATCCAATGCCCCTTGCCAGATGACATTCGAATCGTTAATAAAGATTTAATTGAGTGGAGCATATAAAAGGAGAAACCTTTTCGTACAGAACTTTATAGAACCAATTGCCAATTATTCTATAAAGGAAACGTTTTTATAATAGCAACATTTTCAGCGTAATTCAGCACGATAAGTGTTTATAATAATCTCTTAGCGGAATTCAGTTTAACAACAACAACAACAACAATTTCGGTTTAGCTACTTACCTGGCAATAATTCAAGGTGGGTTGAAAGCAATCTGAAAAAGGAAAATTTAGCTAAAGTGAATTGTATTTTATATATTTTTTAAATAATATTGTTTCTTATAACAAGAAAACATAGAGTGTTGGGCTCGTAATCTCCGATAAATAATCTAATATCCGTGAAGAAGTTCAAACTTTGTTTCTGCACCTAAATTGGAACTATGTTATTCATCCTTTGACAGTCTTATCACTACATATTAAGAGCCACCTGTAACCCACTTTTTATAAACATCTAATGTATATGTAATAAAAAGAATTGTTAATAAATCAAATGTATGTGCGTGCAGCCATAAATGGAAAAGACTGCTCTTAAATGGGGTTGACCAAAATATGTTGATATACTAGTCTGATCCGACCGGATATGTAAAGTTGCAATTATAAAGATTTAAGATAGGAAGAATAGTCTGTATTTAAATAGACTAACGGGTCGGACTATATAAGCTAGATTAAGAATATATAGACTTATATATAGACTATATAGACTAATATATATTATACATGCTGGGCCAGAAAAATCCTTCCCATCTTATATGTATTTGTAGCAAAGTAGCCTTAGAGTCTCTCAGCTCAAATAATTTTGTTTATGCTCCTGGAACTGTTTGGAGCTCATTCAATTTTTGAGGCTTGTCCAGTTAATATCTCAGTTTTCTTTCTGTACTTTAATGTGAAGTTTTTGGGAATGTAAGTTTACAAAAGAGCAAATATATATTTTCTTTTAGTAGTCTTAAATATATATATATTTTTTTTAAAGGTTGAAGTTCTTTCTGCAACAGGAAAACGGCAACCGTGCTTGAAGACCGGTAGCAAAGAAATTAGCTCGATAAGAATTCTGTATGCCAATCGACGGTCGCTCAATTCCCAGAGATCACCTGTTTCTGTGAAGTGTTATTCAAGGTAAAAGTTCTCCTAGCAGTTTTATTGTAACTATCATTGCAAAAAAAACCCTCCCATCTATAGCCTATTCTATCAACATGTGCTACAAACGCTACCCGTGCTGCGGCGGCTGCGCCTCCCCGTGCTGCTATCCCCCGCGCCTATGTTGCGGCGGATGCGGTCCTTGCTGTGGAGCGGGACCTTGCTGTGGCTCCTGTTGCGGGGGTTGTGGACCCTGCTGTGGACCCTGCTGTGGACCCTGCTGCGGTGGCTGCGGCCCCTGCTGCTAGAAAACGTCTTCAGAACGAAATCTAGGTGCACCACATTCAGTACAAAATGCCTCGCGTAAATGTGTTTGTAAATTCTCAGTTATGAATAAAAAGTAAATTATTTATAAAAAAAGGGTTTGTCCTGGGCAGCTGCAACACGTGTAGAAGCTCACGTGAGATGTTGCATTTGCTTCATGCTATTGCAGATATTAAATCTTTGTTCATACATGAACCTACTTTTCGACCGATCGTTTCTATGGCAGCTTTACAGTATAGAGTCCCGATGTTAAGGTTTTGCATATATCTTGCTACTTCTCGACCTATATATAATACTAGTTGTCCGATGCAGTCGACATATGTACTGCATACAACAAAAAGTTGGACATATGCAATGTTTCGAGACGACAGTTTAAGGGCTCCTCGGAGACTAGGTCGCATATCAATTTAGCTATTGATCTATCATATATATACTTTATGGTTTCGGAGACGTCTCCTATGCGTTACACATTTCATCACAACATCGCATATAATAAAATAAAATAATTCATTGTCAAAATGAGCTTTAAGATTGCATTGGCGAATGTTTTGAAATTAATGAGAATGTGCATCATTTTGCAAATTCCACTCATGGTGGTAAATGAGTAAAATATATATTTCTTTAGAATATAACGAAAAATACTTTGCCCATTTCTCTATATCGACTATCGACTTCAAAAATATCGGTTGAAAATTATCCTGAAATCATAGAGCTTTAACAAATAAGAACTAAAGCAGGCTATGATATACTAGCTACAACGATTCGACCGAACCTAACCAGACCCAATACAGGAAATGTTTATTCTTGCTTTTAGGCTTGTCTAGTAAACTTATTTGCTTTTTTATGTAAATTTTTGTGAATTTTACGGGAATGTGAGTTGTGAAAATAATTTAAAAGAATAGTTATTCAATTATGTAATTCAACTACAGGTTGGTGTTATTTCTGTAATCAGACGACGACGATTTCATTGGTTTTCGAGAATTTGAGAAAAAGATCTTTGAAAGCCAATTGAGGTTCGCTTAAGCCCCAAACAGTACCTATTTCCGTGAAGAAGTTCAAATAACTGTAAGTAAACGCGCTCAAACAGTGTTTCAATTGGAACTAACGGCTCTTCGGCCCAAACTCTCCGCAGACTCTCTTATTTTAATCATGTGCTATCCGTGCTATTCGTGCTGCGGCCCTTGCGGCGGCTGCTGTTCCCCATGCTGCGGCGGATGCTGCTATCCCTCTTGCTACCGTGGTCCATGCTGGTCGTGCTGTGGTGGTTGTGGACCATGTTGCGGTGGCTGTGGACCCTGCTGTTAGAACTTCTTCAGAAAGAAATTAAGGTTCTACCCAAACTGTTTGTAACCAACATTCCCTATGTAAATTCATGTATTCCTACACATACATACCATAACTATGTATAAATATATGGAATCACGTCTGAAATGCTTTTCTGTTGTGGCGCCATCTTAGTTTTACCGTTTTAAATACGTAAATGCGTAAATACGAAATGGTGCTTGTCTGGGGTTGCAGATGCATCGCTTCACAAAATATACTGTAGATGGCGAATATTTACATGGTCACGAGACCGGGCACCCGAGTCTACTAGTGTTTAAGTGTATTTGATACTTATAATTTCACACTAAAGGCACAAATTGCTTAATTTTAATTTTTGGTAACACGTTTTGTTTTTCACCTTACTTCATTGGACTTTACCAGCCAACTTAATGCCAAGCGTAACATTGCCATTCTGAGTGCGACAGTGCCATTTTGAGTATAATCGGCATGCTAACAGAAAATGTTAAATTTAAGCCTAACAGTCTGTGGTAGACATTTGATTGAGCCCAGTATGCAGCGCATAAACCGATTAAAGTAAATCAGTAGGTGTTCGCAATTGAAGTAAAATTTGATGTGATTAAACTGTTTACTTCTGCGTTCCGTGTGCTTTTAAATGGCACCCATGTTACATGCTCACAAATGAATTTCAATCTTAACAGCGTAAATTGTAACAGGCCCACTTGAGTATAACAGAATGCCCTCATGTCTGAGCACATTAACATAACGTGTTAGCATTAACAATCTTACAAGCGGACGGTGAGGTCGCGTTTTGGGTGCGTTTTAATTTGCATAATGTTTGTGTGTGTGTGTGTGTGTGTGTTAATGCCTAAAAGTTTATAATAATAAGCATAAATACGCTAAAACTTAAAACAATCCGAAAATTAGCTAATATTTGCTTCAGTCGAAATACTAGTCACTCGCTGATTGGTTGCTGCGTTCGGTCGTGGGTGGCACTTTTCGTGGCTCTATTGTAAAATTCATTTGTATTTCATGTGCGATTGAAACCAAAGCGTAAAGCGTGTAATTTAATAAAAGTAGCTGAAACATATTTTAATATATATTTATGAAAGCGACACGAGCGTCGCAATAACAAAAACAACTGCTCTCAGAAGCAGCAGCATCGTGTGTACATGTATTTGTGCCTATGTGTGCGTGTATGCTTGGGTCTTTCTATGCATGCGTGTGTGTGTGTGTGATGCGTCTTTTCACCACAAAAATGTTAATAAAAGTGCTAAAATTTTGAGAGAAAATTTAACAATAACAAAAAGCTTGCTACAACAATACACAAACACTTGCAAAGGCTGCAAAAACTGTGCTGAGAGCGCGGCGAGAAGTGCTTTAATGCTTTTGCTTAGTGAAAAAGTGACAGATTAAAACAAATGTATACTAAATTTGCAAAATTCTTGTGCTTTCAATTAAAACAATGAAAATTTAGAAAACAAAAGGCAACTGCAACAAAAACAACTACAACAACAACAATAACACTGCTTAATACGACGCCCTGTCGTTTATCTTTGTATTGGTGAGCGACGGCGCCGTTGATGTTCGATTTTTTTTTTTGTGCTCATTGAGAGAAAATTCGTTCTGCTGTTGTCGCTGCTGCTGCTGTTGTTGTTGTTGTTGTTGCTGCTGCTTATCTTATTTATTTTTGATGTTTCGCTCAAAAATAAAAAGTCTTTAGTTTGTGTTTGCGCGCGTGTGTTAATATCAAAAAAAAAAAAATTTTGTTTCTTTGCCGCACGCCAACAGCTGCTCGTGACGTCGACAACAACAACCACAGCGTAAATTGTAAAAAACTTGCAATTCTAACATTTCGCGAGGTGAGTTTCATTTATTGCTGTATTGTAAAATATGTTGCTTTCTTTTATCCGATTTCAACGATAACCTGATTGTTCCTGCTGCTGTGCAATCATCGATTATCGATAAATGCGCTGCTGCAACTAACATTTGTGCAAATCTTGCTTAACAGCTGCTGCGAACAGCTGTTTAATCTGCAGGTGTTCGAATTAAAAACTTTGCTTTTTTCCTAAGAAAAATAGTTTTAAAGAAAAACAGAATCAAGATGCAAATCAACAAACCCCGTGCAACTCTACTTGCTGGCTACATATTTGCAGATTAGTTGCATACTTTGCTCGCTGGCGATAGCTGACTCTTGGAAATTGTTCAAAGGCAAAAATGTTAAAAATATTAGCAAAATGTTAGATTGGGAATTTAAGGTATTCCCAATTGAAGATATTCAATAAATCTTTACGAGAATATTTAATATTTCATACTCTTGCTCTACTACTCTGCACATATGTATGTCTACTCCTGCCTGTTACGTAGCCTAGCCCAATTTTGTCATGCCCCTTTAACCAGTTTGTAATGGGTATTGGGCATTAACATGATTTGAATGGAGCTCAAGAGACGAGCGAATGTTCTGTTTGCCGCGCGTGTAGCTATGCCAAAGGTGTATATCTATCTGTGTATGTAGTTGCTTGTATGTGTGTGTGTGT